CAGTGGCGCAGTGCAGCACTGTGTAGCGCAGTGTAGCACAGTGTGGAGCAGTGTAGAACAGTGTGGCGCAGCGTAGTACAGTGTAGCGCAGTGTAGCATAGTGTGGCGCAGTGTATCGCAGTGTAACGCAGTGTAGCACAGTGTGGCAGTGTAGCACAGTGTGGCGCAGTATAGCACAGTGTGGCGCAGTGTAGCACAGTGTGGCAGTATAACACAGTGTTGCAGTGTAGCACAGTTTAGCGCAGTGTAGCACAGTGTGGAGCAGTGTAGCAGAATGTGGCGCAGTGTAGCACAGTGTGGCGCAGCGTAGCACAGTGTAGCGCAGTGTAGCACAGTGTGGCGCAGTGTATCGCAATGTAACGCAGTGTAGCACAGTGAGGCAGTGTAGCACAGTGTGGCGCAGTGTAACACAGTGTGGCGCAGTGTAGCACAGTGTGGCAGTGTAGCACAGTGTGGCAGTGTAGCACAGTGGCGCAGTGCAGCACTGTGTAGCGCAGTGTAGCACAGTGTGGAGCAGTGTAGCACAGTGTGGCGCAGTGTAGCACAGTGTGGCGCAGCGTAGTACAGTGTAGCGCAGTGTAGCATAGTGTGGCGCAGTGTATCGCAGTGTAACGCAGTGTAGCACAGTGTGGCAGTGTAGCACAGTGTGGCGCAGTGTAGCACAGTGTGGCGCAGTGTAGCACAGTGTGGTAGTGTAGCACAGTGTGGCAGTGTAGCACAGTGTGGCAGTGTAGCACAGTGTAACACAGTGTGGCAGTGTGGCGCAGTGTAGCACAGTGTGGTGCAGTGTAGCACAGTGTGGCAGTGTAGCACAGTGTAATACAGTGTGACAGTGTAGCACAGTGTGTCAGTGTAGCACTGTGCAGCGCATTGTAGCACAGTGTGGCGTAGTGTAGCACAGTGTGGCGCAGCGTAGCACTGTGTAGCACAGTGTTGCGCAGTGTACCAGTGTGTCAGTGTAGCACAGTGTGGTGCAGTGTAGCACAGTGTGGCGCAGTGTTGCACAGTGTTGCAGTGTATCACAGTTTGGCAGAGTAGCACAGTGTGGCGCAGTGTAGCACAGTTTGGCAGTATAGTTCAGTGTGTCAGTGTAGCACAGTGTGGCAGTGTAGCAGACTGTGGAATTGTATCACAGTGTAGCGCAGTGTGGCAGAGTAGCAGACTGTGGAATTGTAGCACAGTGTAGCACAGTGTGGCAGTATAGTTCAGTGTTGCAATGTAGCACAGTGTAGCAGAGTGTGGCAAAGTGTAGCAAAGTGTGGTACAGTGTAGCACAGTGTGGCGCAGTGTAGCACAGTGTGGCGCAGTGTAGCACAGTGTAGCGCAACGTAGCACATTGTAGCGCGGTGTAGCACAGTGTGGCACAGTGTAGCACAGTGTAGTACAGTGTGGCGCAGTGAAGAACAGTGTGGCAGTGTAGCACAGTGTAATATAGTGTGGCAGTGTGGCGCAGTATAGCACAGTGTGGCAGTATAGTTCAGTATGGCAGTGTAGAACAGTGCGGCATTGTAGCACAGTGTGGCACAACGTAGCACAGTGTGGCGCAGTGTAACACAGTGTGGCGGAACGTAGCACAGTGTACCGCAGTGTAGCGCAGTGTAGCAGTGTAGCACAGTGTGGCAGTGTAGCACAATATGGCGCAGTATAGCACAGTGTGGCAGTATAGTTCAGTGTTGCAATATAGCACAGTGTAGCAGAGTGCGGCAAAGTGTAGTGCAGTGTAGCACAGTGTGGCGCAGTGTAGCACAGTGTAGCACAGTGTGGCGCAGTGTAGCAGTGTAGTACAGTGTGGCGCAGTGTAGCACAGTGTGGGAGTGTAGCATAGTGTAATATAGTGTGGCAGTGTGGCGCAGTATAGCACAGTGTGGCAGTATAGTTCAGTATGGCAGTGTAGAACAGTGCGGCATTTTAGCACAGTGTGGCACAACGTAGCACAGTGTGGCGCAGTGTAGCACAGTGTGGCGGAACGCAGCACAGTGTACCGCAGTGTAGCGCAGTGTAGCAGTGTAGCACAGTGTGGCGCAGTGTAGCACTGAGGCAGTGTAGCACAGTGTGGTAGTGTACCACTGTGTAACAGTGTGGCGCAGTGCAGCACAGTGTTGCAGTGTAGCACAATATGGCGCAGTATTGCACAGTGTGGCAGTATAGTTCAGTATGGCAGTGTAGCACAGTGTGGCAGTATAGTTCAGTGTGGCAGTGTAGTGCAGTGTAGCACAGTGTAGCACAGTGTGGCGAAGTGTAGGAAAGTGTGGTGCAGCGTAGCACAGTGTGGCGCAGTGTAGCACAGTGTGGCACAACATAGTACAGCATAGCGCAGTGTAGCACAGCGTGGCGAAGTGTAGCACAGTGTGGCGCAGTGTAGCACAGTGTGGCGCAACGTAGCACAGTGTAGCGCAGTGTAGCACAGTGTGGCGCAGTGTAGCACTGTGTAGCACAGTGTAGCACAGTGTTGCGCAGTGTAGCACAGTGTGGCAGTGTAGCACAGTATGGCAGTGTAGTACAGTGTGTCAGTATAGTATAGTGTAGCGCAGTGTGGCAGTGTAGCACAGTGTGGCCGTGTAGCACAGTGTGGCGCAGTGTAGCACATTGTGACAGTGCAACACAGTGTGGCAGTGTAGTACAGTGTGGTAGTTTAGCAGTGTTACAGTGTAGCAATGTGTGGCGCAGTGTAGCACCGTGTGGCGCTGTGTAGCACAGTGTGGCGCAGTGTAGCACAGTGTGGAGCGGTGTAGCACAGTGTGGCACAGTGTAACACAGTATTGCGCAATGTAAGACAGTGTAGCACAGTGAGGCGCAGTGTAGCATAGTGTGGCGCAGTGTAGCACAGAGTGGCGCAATGTAGAGCAGTGTGTCAGTGTAGTACAGTGTAGCACAATGTGGGGCAGTGTAGCACAGAGAGGCGCAGTGTAGCACAATGTAGCAGTGTAGCACAGTGTGACGCAGTGTAGCACAGTGTAGCAAAGTGTCGCGCAGTATAGCACAATGTAGCACGGTGAGGAAGTGTAGCTCAGTGTAGCACAGTGAGGCGCAGTGTATCACAGTGTAGCACAGTAAGGCGCAATGTAGTACAGTGTAGCACAGTGAAGCGCAGTGTAGCAGTGTACCATAGTGACGCGCAGTGTAGCACAGTGTAGCACAGTGAGGTGCAGTGTAGCAGAGGTGCAGTGTAGCACAGTGTGGCAAAGTGTAGCACAGTATAGCAGTGTAGCACAGTGTGATGCAGTGTAGAACATTGTGGCAGAGTGTAGCACAGCATGGCGCAGTGCAGTGCAGTGTTGCAAAGTGTAGCACAGTTTGGCGCAGTGTAGGACAGTGTAGCACAGTGAGGCGCAGTGTAGCACAGTGAAGCGCAGTGTAGCACAGTGTAGCACAGTGAGGCGCAGTGTAGCAGTGTGGCGCAGTGCAGCATAGTGAGGCACAGTGTAGCACAGTGAAGCAGTGTAGCACAATGAAGCAGTGTAGCACAGTGAGGCGCAGTGTAGCACAGTGTATACAATGTAGCAGTGTAGCACAGTGAGGCGCAGTGTAGCACAATGTGGCACAGTGTAGCACAGTACAGCACAGTGTGGCGCAGTGTAGAATAGTGGCACAGTGTAGCACAGCATGGCGCAGTGTAGCACAGTATGGCACAGTGTAACACAGTGTAGTACAGTGTTGTACAGTGTAGCACAGTTTGGCGCAGTGTAGGACAGTGTAGCTCAGTGTAGCACTGTGAAGCGCAATGTAGCGCAGTGTAGCACAGTGAGGCGGCGTAGCACAGTGTAGCACAGTATAGCATAGTGAGGCGTAGTGTGGCACAGTGAGGCGCAGTGTAGCACAGTGACGCGCAGTGTAGCACAGTGAGGCGCAGTGTAGCACAGTGTGGCGCATTGTAGCACAGTGAAGTGCAGTGTAGCACAGTGAAGCAGTGTAGCACAGTGTAGCACAGTGAGGCGTAGTTTAACACAGTGAAGCGCATTTAGCACAGTGAAGCACATTATTTTTATAATAAAGGGGAGGCGCTAAACCCGGAGGATTATACAGCGCCTGGGGGGGATGTGGAAGGCATTCAGGCTTAATTCGGGGAACTGGAGCACAGATCCAATTCCCTAAATCAAGAATCCCTCACCAACATCAAGGAACCTTCCTTGAGGGGACAGTGAAGTACAGTGTAGCACAGTGAGGCGGTGTAGCACAGTGTAGCAAAGTGAGGCGCAATTTAGCACAGTGAAGCGCATTTAGCACAGTGAAGTACAGTTTAGCAGTGAGGCGGTGTAGTACAGTGTAGCACTGAGGCGCAGTGGGTTGTTTAAAAACCTGTTCTCTAACTTTTATATTCAGTTTCAAACGAATTGTCCATTCTTCATTGCTGGAGGTTTGAAATTCCATGGAGTTCTTACGTCATCCTAGGTTAGGTTAACTTATAATTATCCGATAATAACGAAATAAAAAGAAAGTCTGAATGTTTGCGCCTGGTAGCGCTTTACTTAAGAAATTTAGAGCGTGCAGTTTCACACGCAAGGCAAAAAATAAAAATATGAAGGACTGGTTGCGCTCTGAGGTTATTATTATTAAAGATTCGCCGGTATTCTCCCGGCCCGGGCCTTTTCCCAGTGGTGGCCCGGCCTTGGCTCCCACTTTAGGGAGTGTCTGAGACCTAAGTCTCCCATGGGAGGAGGCACAAGTACCTCCTCATCTTTGGGACCAACTGTCCCCAGGCCTAGCCACAAGCTAGGCCTCTCTGGTCTGCCATCCCCGCCTCAAGGGGACTAATGGGAATGACAGTCTTGTGAGCTACAAGCTCGGGCTCAGACACCTACCCTACCCTAGAAGGGCTAGGTATGGTGTCGATCTTGAATGCCTCTTATTTCCCGGGAGATATATGACCTTTATGTGTTTAGCGCTCCCTTCCTAAATATAATAATGAATATTTTTCAGTGTGTTTAGGTAGGATGTCAACAGAAAAATTAATTACATTTTTTTTTTTGCTTTTATTATAAAACAACAAACATTAAAACACTGTCCAATCGCCTGCGATTGGAACAACTTAACCTAATTTACGAAAACATTATTTACACTAATGGACAATGATTCCAATTACAGTACACATCAGCGTAACGAGGAACTCATCACGGGGACAATGTAGTGTTTCACGTACTGAAGACCACAAGGTGTTGGAAGACTGAAGACTTATATTACATACCTTAGATATGATTCATTCCAGCAATGGGTTACTTGATTACACAGCTTACTTCAGGCAAGGTTCCAGCAACTCAGCTTCTCTAGACTGAGTGAGCTATTTATCAACCATATCGCTTACTTTATTAGAATAACCCTCATTAAAACGTAAGAGATGGCGCAAACATTTTCTGTCTAGCGTGAGATCCTGTTCAGGCCAGAAGATCTCTAGGTAGACTGACAATATCTGTGTTATTTCTTACTTTTTTCTCAGATAGTTTCCACCTTTGTTAGGTAAAAACTTAGAGACCCGCAGTTGTAATGGTATCTGCGAAGTCGACACCGAGTAGACGTTCAGCTGCCGGTATTGGAGTGGTGTCTGGGCGTCGACACAGAGTAGACGTTAAGCTGGCGGTGTTGGAGTGGTGTCTGGGAAGCGAGCCTCACCATCGAAAGTTACTTCAGGATGAAAACCATGACTATTGGCCACGTAGGTCACTGTCTGCACTCGGCCGTCCGGGAGCTGGATCTTGTAGGAGCCTCTCGTCTGCCCTTCCTCTCGTTTCTCTGCGTGGAAGAATTGGTTGCCAGTATGACTGTCAAGTACGCCGTACCCGAACTCGTAGCTGCTCACTTCAGCTCCCTGCAGGACAGGCAGAGTGAGAATGACAATAGAGCAAAATTTAGACAAGGATCAATAATTCATTTCTCAAACTTATTCTTTCCTCTTAATTAAAGTCTGGAGGTGTGTTCTATGAAACACGTGAGTACATCCTAGGGAAAAAGTGTTGCAACTTACCTCAGTACCATCTTCATTTTGTTTAGGGGTGACACGCATCTTGGTGCCGGCGTTAATGTGCCCGTTACTGGTCTTAACGGGCACCAGTGGCTTCTTCCTGGGATGTTGCTGATCCCTGGACGGCTTTTCCAACTCGTGGGTAGCTGGACGGATGGAGGGTGTGGCGAGACTATCCTTCGTTGAGTATCTGCGCTTGTGTTGCTCCGTGAAATGCTGTGTGGGCATGTGTGTTGGGGATGGAGACTGTGATCTTATGATAACCGTCGGGTGAAGGTGGGACACACTTTCTCTTTGTGGTACTGTCAAACTGAATGTTGGTAGGCCGGAAGATTCAATAGATCTAGATAATACCTGGTGATTGTTGTGACCGTCCGGGTTTTGAGAGGGCTGATTGAACCTGGTCAACGACTGTGGGTTAGTGTGTTCCCTGGCAGGACTAACACTATCTTTGCTCTCTTGAGCACTGGGAAAATGGAATGATTGACTCTCCTGGTGGAAAGAATCTTGTGTACGACTAGTTTCGAAGGCACTTCCTAAGCTAAAAGATACAGTGTTACCAAATGGTAAGGAAGTTTCTGTAATTGTGTCTCCAGGCTTGGGGCTGCCGAAATCTCTAAAATCGTTCTTGAACTGACTGTGTGTGGAGAAAGAATCTTGTAAAGATAGTTGATTCTGCACTAAAGGTTTTGGGATGAAAGGCAGTTGGTCCTCGTCTACCGTTCCTTGGAAAGGTGTAGTTCCGCTCAGGAAGGCGTTAGGTTTAAGGCTTTCGTCGGTGAAACCCTGTATATCTGGGAAGGCCGTGGAGACCTCAGTATCTTGAAAAACTTTGAAAAATGACGATGGCGTTGCAGTAGCTGCTGCATTAGGTTTCTCAATGGGAGGGGGCAAGAAGTTCTGCTGAGCTGGAGGCAAGAAGTTCTGCTGAGCTGGAGGCAAAAAGTTTTGCTGGGCTGGTGGCAAGAAGTTCTGCTGAGCTGGAGGCAAGAAGTTCTGCTGGGCTGGTGGCAAGTTCTCTTGAGCTGGAGGTAAGACATTTACCTGCTGGGGCTTCCTCGGACGTTCACTGGGGGTTTCCTTCTCCCTTCTTGGTCCACCGCCGAAGATGCCCTGAAAGGTCCTTGTCATACCACTGCGTAGGTTGTCTAGGAGACGCATGCCCATGGCTAAGGGCGTCTGACGGGGCCGCTGGGGCTGTGCCCATGTTGACACGCTGACAGCAAGCACGACACACAACACCTGCGGTGATAACATTACATCAGTTGCCAAAGCAAGATAAATAAGAGCTTCTAGTGACCAACAAATAATAACTTATCTCACAACTAACCCACAAACAAAACCGTGACGACATTTCTGCCCGTCCTGGATCACATCAAGTTACGACGTGATTTTCTTCCAAACAAGACCGAAAAGTTTAATTTTCATTTCTAATATATGGGCTAGTTACGAAATGTTCCGGCTAACGTATTGTGACTTCTTAAAAAACTAGCTATAAATGAAGACACCAACTGGTAATAATAGAAAGTGTGTTCAGTATATAGATAATACGAGCCAAAAAAATTTCGCCGGCTGCAATTTTAATTATATCTGTGTGAAATTTTAAGTTGGTGGTTTGAAAGCGAACCAAGTGATGGACGACCCTGGAACCATCTACGGGTCAAGTAAAGACAGAAGAATCTATACGTAACGTAATAGGTGTTTTGTTATTCTTACCGAGTTATAAACGCATTAAGGTTCTAAAAGCAAAGTTAAATGGATATTTTTATTGTCAGAAAGATCATTTCTTATACTAAAAGACCGAATTATAATAACAACAATAATAATAATAATAATAATAATAATAATAATAATAATAATAATAATAATAATAATAATAATATCTATTTCTACAAGTACATGTACAAGGTATACAGACCATAGCTGACATCAATGATATACTGCTGTACAGAAAGCCCCTTGTTATGCTGAGCATTTCGGGCAAATTAGGTCAGTTTTGTCCCAGGATGCGACCCACACCAGTCGACTAACACCCAGGTACCCATTATTACTGATGGGTGAACATAGACAACCGGTGTAAGGAAACACACCCAATGTTTCTACCCTCGCCGGAAATCGAACCGGGATCCTCGCCGTGTGAAGCGGGAGCCACCAGACCACGGGGCACCGTGTCCTGGTGTCATGTTAAATGATATGAATGTATATTATCCCGTCAGGGAAAGTTTGCCTTGGTGCTGGTGAAGAACTTTTGATTCAAGGTAGTGCAGCCGCCTTTTCTTCCTATTCCACAGGCGCTGTATGACCCCTGCGGATCTAGCCTTTCCCCACGAATATAATAATATTAATTTTAATAGTAATAGTGTATATTATTCGTAATCTGAAATTAACGTATGGAAGTTGTTGCCTGGTCACAGACCGGGCCGCGGGGGCGTTGACCCCCGGAACTCTCTCCAGGTAATCTCTCCAGGTAATACCGTGCTTCTAATTTCTGAGTTTTTGAGTCAACTTCAGTTTACCAAAAAATACTCCGGACACAAACCAAGTAATATAGATTAGTGGAGATCCCACAGTAGTACCATCACTCAATGTATTTAAATACGTGTTCTCCACAAAATTAGATATTTTATTTTCCTAGTACCCAACATCTAGATTCCGTCTCGGTATTGACACACGTTATGCAAAAGCGGGTACCCCCTCCAGGCACACCTTAACAAACTTGATATTAAAGTTTTAAATGAACTGGAGAGGAAAACAGTGCTGCGTCACTAGTGTTCATCTTTCCTCAAATTTCTCAGGAAGCAGCGGCTTTCACAGGTGATAATCCCTCGCTGGAGAAAGTTACACCACCTGCCTCCACTACTCAATAAATGCAGTATTTTTACACTAAATATAGACGTTATTTACCAAAATATTTATTGTCATGAGCTTGGTGGATATATCCTCAGTGACTTACACACACTATACTATCATGGTACACATATACCAATTGTGTCTTTGTAACGGTTATTAAGCTACAAAGATACTCAACAGGCGTCCTCCTCGACAGAGAGGCACAGTTCGTCAGATCCAGTTGCATGATGGGTCTCTTCTAGAATATATAAGCAGATACAGGTGTCTAGGCTTTGAGGTTCCACTACTTGGACCTGTTGTAACGAGACTTTGTCGCCAATACAAAGGCTGAGAGCACTTAGAGTTGTGGCAGGGTTTCACCCCAGGTATAGTGCTAATGTTAAAATTGTGAAAATGATGAATCTTGCTTATATTAGATCATTGGTTGATTATGCTGTGTCACTACTTGCTCTTGTGTCTGACTGGAAGCTTGAACTGCAGAACGAAGCAATGAGGATCATCCTAGGATGCCCTCGTACTACCAAAATTTTAAATAAGCGGAAAGAACTTAATATTCCAAGCATTAGAGATCGTGTTACTGAAAGAAATATCTTTATTGGGGTCAATATGCTTAGGTTAGCCCATTCAAACCCCTGGACAGAAACCCTCCAAACTTTCTTCAACACTGGTGAACATCCCTCCAGACGGATCGAAAAAACTGGAACCGACCTCCGCATGAACCAGCTACATGATCTAGGTCAAGTTAGGCAACAGAGGCACTTCCTTGCTCCATGGGATATTACCCCATTCCAAACTACCATTCCTCCATTTGCCCCCAAAACTCTTCTTAAATCACAACCAAAGCTTCGCCTTGGAGCCAAACAGGATGCCTTAAGTTGTATTGATAAGTTAGTCGCACAGAACCCTCTTTCACAAATTATTTACGTTGATGGTTCTGTTCACCAGTCCACTGGTGCAGCTGGTAGTGCTGCTGTTATCATACAGAGTGATGGCTCTCATAAAGAAATTGGAGCACGCATCAATAACTGGGCCTCTACCCTTCAAACAGAACTGTTTGCCATACTCCTTGCACTCAAATGCGTCCATGTATCTAAGGTTGACACTTTAATTGTAACTGATTCTCTGTCATCCATAAATGCTCTCAATTCATTAAGTATAAATTGTGGCATGCTTGTGTCAGAAGCCCGACACACCTATGGTAAGATTGTGGACAGTGGAGTCAGAGCGCACATGCTGTGGATTCCATCTCACATTGGTCTCCAGATGCATGATAGAACTGATAAATTGGCTAAGCTGTCTGCTTTCAAAGAGGGAGTAGATTACAATCTTGGGTTGTCAGTTAGCAGTTTGAGAACAATTATACGAAAAGAACTTCAATTGAACTTTATTGACTTAAGACTTAGGAAGACTGACACAAGTCAATCCATCTATCATCATTCTATCATGCAGGAGGAGCCACATGTCTATGGTGCATCCAACAAGATAAGCCGACTCTTGGATGTCACTACCGCCTGGCTCCGGCTGGGTTACAAGTATCTTTGGCAGGTTAAATCCCCACCACCAGATGTAGACCAAACGAAATGTAAACTTTGCGTCATTATGTACTGGAGTGCGATAAAATTAATGAATTTAGAGACAATTCACTTAGAAATGTTCAAGAAATGGCAAAGTAATTTATCCACAGTGGTATATTACAGACCATTCTGGAAAAATACCCTGACTTTGCTAGCTGTAAATAGAGCATTACTTAGTGTGTGTGTGTGTGTGTGTGTGTGTACTCACCTAACTGTGCTCACCTAATTGTGGTTGCAGGCGTCGAGACTCAGCTCCTGGCACTGTGTCTTCACTGATCGCTACTCGGTCCTCTCTCTCTGCTTCCTGAGCTTTGTCATACCTCGTCTTAAAGCTATGTATGGTTCCTGCCTCCACTACGTCACTTCAATCATAGAGTCGTCACTTCCTGACGACTCTATGATTGAAGAAATAACAAAAAAAAGGCACAATACCGTGACTGGAACGATACACAAATAACCCGCACATAAAAGAGAAGCTTACGACGACGTTTCGGTCCGACTTGTAAATGGTCCAAATCGGACCGAAACGTCGTCGTAAGCTTCTCTCTTTTATGTGCGGGTTATTTGTGTATTGAAGAAATACTTCCTAACATCCCTGTGACTCGTCTGAGTCTTCAGCTTCCAATTGTGACCCCTTGTTTCTGTGTCCCCTCTCTGGAACATCCCGTCTCTGTCCACCTTATCTATTCCACGCGGTATCTTGTATGTCGTTATCATGTCTCCTCTGACCCTTCTGTCCTCCAGTGTCGTCAGTCCGATTTCCCTCAACCTTTCATCGTAGGACATTCCCCTGAACTCTGGAACTAGCCTTGTTGCAAACCTTTGTACTTTCTCTAACTTCTTGACGAGCTTGACCAAGTGTGGGTTCCAAACTGGTGCTGCATACTCCAGTATGGGCCTGATGTACACAGTGTACAGTGTCTTGAACGATTCCTTATTAAAGCATCGGAACACTATTCTCAGGTTTGCCAGGTTCCCATATGCTGCAGCAGTTATCTGGTTGATGTGTGCCTCCAGAGACGTGTTCGGTGTTATTGTCACCCCAAGATCTTTCTCTTTGAGTGAGGTTTGCAGTCTTTGTCCACTTAGCCTATACTCTGTCTGCGGTCTTCTTTGCCCTTCCCCAATCTTCATGCCTTTGCATTTGGCAGAGTTGAATTCGAGAAGCCAGTTTCTGGACCACGTATCCAGTCTGTCCAAGTCTCTTTGTAGTCCTGCCTGATCCTCATCCGATTTAATTCTTCTCATCAACTTCACATCATCTGCGAACAGGGACACTTCAGATTCCATCTTTTCCATCATGTCATTCACATAAATAAAAAATAGCACTGGTCCTAGAACTGACCCCTGTGGGACCCCACTCGTCACAGGTGCCCACTGTGATACCTCTTCACGTACCATGACTCGTTGTTGCCTCCCTGTCAGGTATTCTCTGATCCATTGCAGTGCTGTCCCTGTTATACGCGCCTGATCCTCCAGCTTCTGCACTAATCTCTTGTGAGGAACTGTGTCGAAGGCCTTTCTGTAGTCCAGGAAAATGCAATCCACCCACCCCTCTCTCTCGTGTCTTACCTCTGTTACCTTGTCATAAAACTCCAGAAGGTTTGTGACACAGGATTTGCCTTCCATGAATCCATGCTGGTTGTCATTTATAATCTTACTCCATTCCAGTTGCTCCACCACTCTCCTCCTGATAATCTTCTCCATGACTTTGCATACTATACACGTCAGAGACACTGGTTTGTAGTTTAGTGCCTCGTTTCTGTCTCCTTTCTTAAAAATGGGGACTACATTTGCCGTTTTCCGTATCTCAGGTAG